AGCAGAAGCCATCGCAGTTAAGGAAGCACTTAGTTGGATTAAAAGTAAAGGCTGGAAACAAGTCCTTGTGGAAACAGACTGTAAGGAGGTTGTCGATTCACTTAATAGTACTATCATGGACTGGTCTTACTTTAACTCTATCATTGAAGATTGTAAGCGTCTCCAAATGCTCTGTGCAGGAGACCTTAATTTTTGTTTTACTCCTCGCTCCGGAAACGAGGCAGCGCATTTGTTAGCGCGTAGTAGTTGCAATGATGATGTTGTAGGGGAGTGGTTTGACACACCCCCAAACTTTATTCCTTTGATTTCCTAATTTAATTATTTTGTTTCAAAAAAAAAAAAGTATTATTCTTTGAGGCCGCCATAATATTTTTTGGGTGAGAATTTATGAACTGAGAAAATTATTTTTATTATATGGATGTACTCCCTCCGTCCCACTGTCTTTGTCCACTTACCTTTTGGCACACCATCCAATGCACTTCTTTAATACATTTTATCTTGTAATTTGTATATTAAAAAATTATAGAAATTATATATCAATAATCTATATGTTAAGACGAATCAAACAAGATCACACATGACTATTTTTAGGCTTACACATTGAGAGAATTTGATGAGTCAAAGTGCTTAGATGAACAGTTCTAAAAGTCAAATGTGGACAAAGACAGTGGGATGGAAGTAGTATATATAAATAAATATACTCCGTACTTAGGGAGGGAAGATAATATTGGCCAGGAGATGCATAAAAGGAAGTCTATTTATTGCTATTAATTTTATTTGGCTACATTATTTCCATTAAATTTTCTAAACTCTCCACGTTTTTTAATTCATTTGAGGATAATTAATTACATTCCTAAGTTGCTTCATTTATTAAGGCAGAAAATACTTGTGTAATTCTCTTCACTTTAATTTATTTTGAGAAAGACTAAAGTAAGAGTAAACTTTTGAAAAAATAACGAAATAGGATTTCCATATTTTTATTCTTGTAATAGAAATTAAAATGCAGTTACAAAATTAATCATGACCACATATATTAGGGCATTCACAGTGGTAGCATCTCTTGTCGTTAAATGTTCAAGTGAAGGTTCCACTTTAAAGATCTTATTCTAGCATCTCTCTTAACATCCAATTCTTCCAATGGTGGCATCTCATTTAGATGTCTAACTATTTGTTCTACTCTTCTCGTCCCAAAATGTTTGTCACATTTTCCTTTTCAACAACCACAAGAATTTTTGTTTATTTATACATTTTTATTGATTACTCTCTCCGTCACAGAGTATTTGTCTACTTTCATTTTTACACACCATCCAATACACTTCTTTAATCCATTTTATCTTGTAATTTGTATATTAAAAAATTATAGAAATTATATATTAATAATCTATATGTTAAGACAAATCAAACAAGATCACACATGACTAGTCTAACAGTTCCAAAAGTCAAAAGTGGACGAATATAGCGGGACGAAGGGAGTATTAGATAAAATAAAATATTCTTGACACCTATTATTTCAAAAAAGTTTTTATATAGTTTTTAAATATGTAATTTTTTATTATATTTATACCAATATTTAAATAAAGTGAATTGAAAAAAATTGGTACGGAATATTTTGCATCATTTTGCAAAAAATGTGGTAAACATTGAGGGACGGAGGGAGTATTATATATTTTAGTGGGTCCTACTTCTACATAAATAAAATAATCTTTTATTTTTTATGATTATAAATATTAAATTTAAATTATATAATACATGCTTAATTAAAATTAAAATTTTTAATTTTTATTAAATAATTAAAACTTTTGTTAATACATTGATAACAAGACACCACGGTAATAAATGAAAAAACTACAGTATATTTTAAAACACTTAGTTCTTTTGTAGAATTATTTTAAAACACTCATATTGAATGCGAACTTACTCTCTCTGTCCCAAATTAAATTTTCTGTTTACTATTCACATGGTCAAACTTCATTCACTTTCTTTCTCTTTTTTCAGTAGTCATTTGATAAAATAATATAGTAATGTGACCACTAGTTTTGTATATCTTTTGACGTAATATTTTAAAATGTAATTTTTATTTTATAATTCTACACCATTTTTTATATAAAATAATTTGAAAATAATTTCAGTCAAACATCGTAAATCAAAACAGACTATATAAATTGGGATGGAGGGAATAATTTATAAATAAAAAGAAGTCATTGTAATTCGAACAGGATAAAATTGCTAGCTAATTCTTAAAAACTTTCAATAAAAACCCTCTACAATAATTGAAGGAACGAATAAATAATAAAGGATGAGCCCATTCTCTAGTGCTCCTTCAGACCTGACTGGACGGTCACTGAGATGAAGTAATTAGATTTTGATCACATATTGGTGGCAAGAGTGGAGCTTGCACCTGGTAACTGAAGAAGCAAATACATACTACCTCCGTCTTTGAGTATTTATCCAATTTTGACTTTTTTTCAGTTAACTGTCTTTAACCTTTGACCAATAATTAAATAAAATATATAGTGTATATTAATTAAATAAAATAATATTTTGAAAATGTTTGATATAAATCTAATAAAACTATTTTGTATCAATATTTAATATCATTTTTATTTAACTTGACGTTAACATTTACCAATTTTGACCGAAAAAAATTAAAAGTGAACAAATACTCAAGAAAGTGACACATGGCACATAAACTATTGAAACACTAAATGAAAGTAATTAAAGGATGTAGTAATTCCAAGTTGAAACATTGGTGCTCAACCTAGCATCATCCACCCTCTCTCACAATTGTAGATCTCTTAACATCTCATTCTCTCTTCTCTAGGCATCTCACTTGAACATTCCATTAGAGATGACCTTACTAAAAAGTACTCCCTCCGTCCCGCAAAAAAGTTCCTCTTTCGTTTTTTTTTCGTCCCAAAAAAAAGTTTCCATTTGTTATTAAAAGTCAATTATACCCCTCCATCCCAAACCCTAACAAAACTAACCTAACCCACCCCCACTCGTTAGAATCTTCTCTCTCCTCCTCTTCGCCTCTTCCAATTCCCAGACTCTCTCATCTTCTTCCTTCCTCTTCTCTCAGATCTAACCTCTATCTCTCTTCTCCTCTCTGAATCCATGAAAAATCGCGACCCTACGATGCCCTCGTTTCAATTACTGAGCGACAGTGACGAGGAAACATTTTTTCCTCGTCAAAGATCACCTCCACCCACAATTTCGAAGAGGAAGGGTGAGGAGACCTGGGGATCTGGCTTCGATGGAGGTGGATCTGACTCCTCTAAGACGGATCCAACTTGGAGTTCCCGTAAAAAGCATTTGGGGGGGGGGGGTTATTACTCTGACCCTGAAAGGAGTTACGAAGAAGAGGATGGAGAAGAAGACTCTGAATCTGTGACATCTGCACAGATCTTGGAGATGTTTGAGGATGAGCTCAATATCTCAGAATGTACTTCAGTTTTTGAGTCAAAATATTTTTCATGACCACCCTGTCTATAACTGGCACTGCCTTAACTTCAAGTGTTCATGCTGGCCTATTTTTAGAAGCCCTTTTTGCTTCAGCAAGATAGGTGAAGGGGAAAATGCCAATTTTCCCATCCCACAGCAGACCCCCATCAGCCCCATACCTAGGCCTACCCACTGCTGCTAAAAACATTATTTTTGGTATGTGTGTTTTGGATTGGATTGTTCTGTGTGGGTCTTCTTCCTCTGGCAGTGCATAAAAGGTGGCCTTTTCCTTTGTGATATTGAACCATTTCTCATCAATATGAATATAATCATAAAAATTGTGAAATGTTGGGTTCAATGGAAGTGATGAGGGAGAAATATGGTCCAAACAAAAGCTAAGTCTTTTTAGCTTACCTGGGTCTGACAAATATGGCTTGATTGCATTGGAATGTCTCCTTATGGTCTTCCTTTTTAACCATCTCTGGACAGTTGATTTGGATACTTCCATTGCATAGCCAAGGGCACGTATGTTCTTGCGCCTATGAAATGGAACTGCCAACATCTTTGGAATGTCAACAGGCACTTCTTTTCTGCC